CATGTGGGATCTTCCCGGACCGGGGCACGAACCCGTGTCCCCTGCATCGGCAGGCGGACTCTCAACTCAACCACTGCGCCACCACGGAAGCCCGCCTTCCTTTTTTTAACACACTAAAGAAACAAATCATTTCATTAGAGTCCTTTTTGCTCTTGCCGGACCAGGGCACAAACCCGTGTCCCCTGCATTGGCAGGCGGACTCTCAACCACTGCGCCACCACGGAAGCCCGCCTTCCTTTTTTTAACACACTAAAGAAACAAATCATTTCATTAGAGTCCTTTCACATTTGCTCTTGAAATTCAATGGCATTCACTTATACTAAGAAGTAGAGATGATAGAGATGAAATAAGGGACCTTAAATCCATCAATGCATGGAGTACTGAGACCCTCCTACATTTCCCATAATAATAACAGTTATGAACCAAACACTTTACATGCCTGATCTCATTGAATACTCACACAAACTGTAAGAAACATGCTATTATTATCCCCATTTTACAGATAAGAAGACTGATCCCGAGAGAAGGTTAAGAAGTCTCAGGAAGCAGTGGAGCCAGGATTAGAACATACACCTTTCTAACTTGAACTACCAAGCCATAATCACAGCACTTGACTGCCTCCCTACTGTCAACCCTCTCCAGGACTGTAAATTCCTTCACGACAAAAGAATAGGGAATGTACATTACCTTTCTGGTACAAGTCATTTAACACTATGTCTTATTAGAGCCTGAGTGACCAGGGGGTGGAGAGGAAAGGGGGTAGTGGCCCAAGAGGGCACTGGGCAGACTTAATTAAACTGTGTTTCATAAAAACCCACCTGTATTTTTCTGGAGAAATTCCAGATTCCTTAAATCCACACGTGCTCTTGAAATTCAAGGACAGATGCTCTGCGATGAAACAAATGACCTTAATAAATCAACATGTATACTGAAGTCCCACCTATAATACATGGCTCGTCAGAGAAAAATATAATACACATAATCAAATTCTATAGGCTGTTTGAAACATAATAGGAATTAAGCCTGGGGTAAGAGCCTTAAAAAAGAGAAAGAAAAAAAAAAAGACTCTTTTTTGTAATATATTAAGAAATATGTATTTTGGTCTTCATCCTTGGCTCCTAGCAAAAGCTCCTAAAACCTGTGAAATTCCCTAATCAATAAAGATGCTAGGAGTATCTTTTGTTTTAATAGTTGGGTTTTGACCCCAGTTTCTGACACAGAGCTCCTAAATCCCTTGGAATTTCCTGTGTGACAGGAACATTTTTTTTTTGTCCTAACGAAGGGACTCTTGGTGGGCTCCTGGAGAGCTTTAGGATGGGAGCTGGCCACAAAAAGATCAAGCCATGATTAGAAGCTTGGAACTTTTAGCTTCACCCCCTATTCTCTGGGGAGGAGAGAAGGGAGGGAGATTGAGTTAAAAATTAATCATGCCTAAGTGATGAAAACTTCATAAAAATCCCTGAACTACAGGCTTTAGGGAGTTTCTGGGTTGGTGAACACATCACAAGCTGGGAGGGTAGTGCACCCCAATTTCACAGGGACAGAAGCTCCTGCACTTGGAATCTAGAACTCACCCTACATACCTCTTCATCTGGCTGTTCATTTATCATTTCCTTTATTGCGTAATAAACTGGTAAGTCTAAGTGTTTTCCTGAATTCTGTGAGCCACTCTAGCAAATTATTGAACCTGAGGAGGGGGTTGTTGGAACCCAACTTGTAGCCACTTGGTCAGAAATACAAGTGATAACCTGGGACCTGCAGTTGGCTTCTGAAATGGGGCCGGTCTTATGGGACTGAGCCCTTAACCTGTGGGATCTGACACTAACTCCAGGTAAATAGTGTCAGAACTGAATTGAATTGTAGGACAGCCAGCTGATGTGGGGGGGGGAAATCACACATTTGGGAATTCCAGTGGCTAAAAGCACAGGACTTGAAGTCCCATGGGCTTAGGATTCAAATCCCAGTTGGGTCACCTTGTAGCCATATAATCTTAGAAAGTCATAATATCAACTCCTCGTGTGTAAAATGGGGATCAAAATGTCTCACTCAATAAGCTGTTCGCATGTCACACAATGTGTGAATCTCCCCAATAAGATTTAATGAATCTCCACGTCATCCTTATTATAAGGGGCTGAATAAACATTTGTTGGATCAACCAAAATAGACCATTGAATACGTGTTCCATCTATTCCTGTGGATTGATTTTACTTCACAGCAACAGTGCCATCAGAATCATTTTAGAAATTAGCCCAGTATTCTTCCTTGCCGGACAATCCTTTAATAATTACACAAACCAGTATAAGCTACAAAGTATCACTGAAGAGTCTTCAAGAATCAGAGTGGCCAAGCTACTCAGTGGGAAACGCTTGGCAATCTCTAACACATATAGAGCAAGCCTACCAGGATAATATCTTCTTTGATCTAAATTCCAGCTAGAAGCTTGCCTTTCATTTTAGTTTCTAAGTTTTCCCAAACCTCTGTCTCACAGAGGTTCAAATGCTCACATGGCGATTGTGGGAAAATAATGAGGCCTTAGATTCTCCCTTTGAGCTTTGATTCTACCCCAGGTGTTTGTATGAAAATCTTATTCAAAAAATAGACAAAAATGAAGTCTAAAAAGTCATGCATATTATCACAAGCCAGCAGGACCAAAGCCTGAAAAAAATTAGGCTACCACTAAAAAAAAACAAAAAACAAGAAATAACTGCCGTACTGATTGACTAATCCCACCAAGTAAAGAAATATTACAGAAAGATCTATTTGCAGGAACAATCTGGGAGGCTTTACCAAGGATTACATGAAAAAATATGGTAAAAAGTAGCTTAAAACAATTACCTAAAAATC